CAAAGAAATGGATAATATCTCTTATGCTTCTTTAGTCGGGAGTTTGATGTAAGCTCATACTTGTACTAGGTCGGATATAAGATTTGTTGTTGGTATGTAGGGTCGTTATCAATCAAATCCTATACTGGTTCATTGGAGAGCTGCAAAGAAAGCTTTAAGGTACTTGCAAGGCACTAAGGATCACATGCTCACATATAGAAAAACTAGTAACCTTAAGGTTGTTGGTTACTCAGACTCGGACTATGCCGGATGTTCGGATACCCGAAAGTTCACATTTGGCTATGTGTTCCTTCTAGTTGATGGAGATGTCTCATGGAAGAGTGGTAAGCAGTCTGTCATTGCTACTTCCACTATGGATGCTGAATTTGTAGCATGCTTTGAAGCTATAGTTCAATCGTTATGGCTGCGTAATTTTGTTGATGATTTAGGAATTGTTGGAACCATTGCTAAACCTATGAGGATTTATTGTGATAATACGACAACTGTTTTCTTATCTAAGAACAATAGATACTCCAAGGGTTCCAAACATATGGATTTAAAGTATTTATCTGTCAAAGAAGAGGTGCAAAATCAAAGAGTTCAAATATTGCACATTGGCACCAATGATATGATTGCGGATCTGTCGACTAAAGGACTAGCTCTTAAGACATTTATTGGTCATGTTAGTGAGATAGGAGTAGTCACGAAGTCCCTGTATAGCGGATGATTAGTCATACATGTATGAATATATGTCTTGCACATTTATGTTTGTTTGATACTCTAGATATCGATGTTTATTTGGATTTTGCTTATCTATGAATCATATTTCAGTTATGTATATTTTTTATGATTATAGATATTGGATCTTATTTTAAGACATTGTCGGATAAGATATTTTCGTATGTCTATATTATTAAATTGTGTTTGTTTGAATTAGATTGACATATAATACATAGAAGGAATCAGGGCGTTTGTCAGGTCCGTGACCGACATGATTCGATCGATTTAGTTATAAGTACAAGCAATAACTGATTCAATCAACTATATAAAGGGTTATGACCCCCAAGAAATATATTTTTTGTATTTTCTCTTATCCCCGTCAGAGAGTTCATTCTAAAAGGAAATTCTATCTTCCGCAAATCTAATATTTATTTTATTCTTGATGATTTAACATGATTAGATCCAAGTTTGATTTCATATTTATTTATAATTTAATTCTTACAACAATTAGCATTTTCAGATACCCAAATGCCCTAGAATTCAAGTTTCAGCAATGAGCCTACTGAACTTAACCAAAGAAACCACAAACCTTATTTTCATATCCAAATTCACATTTCGAAATAAAAATCAATATCACTTATTTTTTATTCTTTAACTTGGTATGCTTTATGTACTTTTATTTAATTTTATTTTTAAAATTTTTAAAATTATATTAAAGATAAAAAAATATTATTGAAGTTATAATATTTTTTATTAATTATTGAAGTGATAATAAAATGAAATAAATATGGAGTATATATATATAAGAAAATGACTAAGGATTAGTGTTATTTTATACTAAATATTTTTGTGTTTTTATGTATTTTCCTTTTAATTTATTTTAAATCTTTTGGATAAAAATTTGATCTTACTTTCATCGTCACGTCTTTGTCTAGTACTATCTTAATTAGTTATGAATTTTTATAATTGACTATTATTTTTAAAATTCTAAATATATTTATTTCAATGTGTATAACATAACTACTACTCTTATAATATACATACATATATATATCAACAAAAACGAACTTCAAATATTGTTTTATTTCTCATACTCGGAAAAAAAATAACAATCTATTTAATCAATATAAGACAAATCGATTAATTAATTGAATTGTAAGCACCATTTTTAAACTCCCAAAACCCAACTAAATAAAAACCCAAACCCAAATAAAAAAGAACCGAAACCGATTAAAACCCAAACTAGCCTTAACCCGACCCAGACACCAATCTGACCCAGGAACTAACCAAACCCTACCCAAAATCTAACCTAGCCCCGTAGCCGTCCAAACACCCAATTAGTGACCACTTCCCCCAACCGAGGGCCACCCCTCTCTGCTCCAATGACAATGAAGCCACCATCTCCATACCACCTGCAGAAACAAGCAACAAAAAAAAAGAGTTATCATCATTTTTTCTGTAAAAACCAGTATAAATCCCGAATGAAAAATAATGTAATATCAGTTAGAGACATCCAGAAGGAAAAAAATAGTGTAATCACTCTCGATTTTTTAGGAGAGATCCAGACAGTAATAAACCCTTTTTTAAGGTTATTCTCCTTTTATTTTACAGTATTATTTGTTATGATTTATTTTTTTCGGTTAAGGTTCGAATATCAAATCTAAAAAAACCTTTAGATTTGAATAAAAAAAGACGTATTTTTTCAGTTTTTTTCGAAATAACCAACAACCCATTTTAGCAGTAAAAAAATAACAAAAAATAAAAGTGGAGCGGTCAGAGTGTCGTCGGAGTTTGATGGGAGTCGAAGAGTTCAACCGATCTTTGGGTAGATTGGGAGTGTTTTTCGACGGTTTTAGCCCTAAAATAGGCTCTAGGAGGCTAGATCTAGGCTAGGGGAAGTTTTGGGTCGTTTTGAGTTTGGCGGTCGAACGACAATCGGAGGTGGGGCACGACGACCAGTAGTGAGCCTGTCGAAGGGAGAGGGGAGAGCTTCTCTTTTTTTCGATTTTGCGTGAAATGAAAAAAAGAGAGAATGATTTGGCTTTTATAGAAAGAATTAAGGGGTTAATTGCACTTTAAACCCATGGTATTTTGTCGTGTTTTTGCATTTTGGTCCCTAAAGGACCAAAAATGTTATTTCACCTTTTTATTGTGCATGCTTTATATTTTTGGATAATTCACTGTTTTAATCCCCCTAACTTTAGCGTATTTTTGCATTTTGGTCACTAAAGGGACTGATTTTGTGATTTGCCTATTTTCAAGCGTGATATATATTTTTTTTAGTAAAATTATTTTTTAGTCCCTTTAAGTTTGTCTTGTTTTTGCATTTTAGTCATGTGTAGTGTCCTATTAATTTTTTTTTTAAAAATTGTGTGGGTTGATTTTGTAATTCTTCCCTTTTAATTTAACAGTTTATTTTTAGGCTTAAATAAATGGAATAATTTCTTTTAGGTCCCTATAGTTTAATCGTGTTTTTAAATTTTAGTCCCTAATCTATTTTTTTATTTTATTTCGATTTAGCCTTCGAATTTTGATTTATTTTAATTTAGCCCCTATTGCATGTTTAATTTATTCTCTTTTAGTTTAGTAATTTTATATTTATGCAATTAGATCCTCATATTTCAGGTTTATTATTTTTTAATGTTGTTTTTGTTTATTTATTTATTTATTTATTGTTTTAATTTTTTAATTAATTTTATTATTAATTGTTTTGTTTCATTTTAATTTTTATATTTAGATTTAGTTTTAAATTAGATTAATACTCGATCGAACTTAGAAATTAGGATGACACTCTAGCTTAATTAGGGAGAATTTCGAGTCAAGTTTTCGCATAATATGCCTGATTACTCGAATCGATTGCTCGATTTTAAAATTAATCACTAATTAATATTTTCTAAAAAAAACTTTAGGTTTAATAATTTAGATTATAATTAGGTTTTAAATTAGTCCTTAACCTTAGAAATTATTAATTTAGTTCTTTAAGCTTTTAAGTCTCTTAGAACTCAGTATTTTTAGATCTTGACCTTTTTAGTCCCCAAACTTTGATTAGTATTTTAATTTTGACATAATTAAATAATTAATATTAGAACCTCCACTTTAGGTTAGATTTCAAACTAGTCTTTTAATTTGGGATAATTCGAGTCGACCCTTGCCTAAATGCTCGAGGGATCATCTCGATTATTCGATTCGATAATTGATTAAAATCAAATAGAATTAATATTAGAGCCTACAATTTTAGGTTTGAGCCTCTAGGTTCCTTTAATTTCATAATTTGAAACATTAAGCTAGAAAGAGCCTTTAATTTACCTTAGTTTAATTAGGATTAATAAAAATTTATTTGATTGCATTTTATTTTAAAATCTAAGGCAATGTTCACTTATTAGGGAATTAACGGTATATATCCCGCAAGTATGCTCAGGGGCGACTACTAGTGATTCCCAAAATAGGTCGACATCATTTTCAAAGACCGCATCATGATTTTCTAAAAACGAGGCAATATTCGGTTATTAGACACAATAGTTGATCTCTCGCATTTACGCTTGGGAGCGAATGCTATCGGTCTCGATAAACGAATATTCTCTTCAACTTTGCATCCGTAATGATTTTCAAATTAAATAAAGTTCGAACTCAAAATTTCTGATTTTAAATACAGGGTAATCAACTAGGTACCAATTTTTGGGCGCTTGTGGGGGTGATAATCCTTCCCCACGCGTAACTGACTCCCGAACCCGATTTATGGATTTTCGCAGACCTTAAAACTCGATATTTTGATAAAAATAAATGTTTTATTAAATCACCTGGCTTTCATGGTGTCCCAATCACACCTTAAATGATTGGTGGCGGCTCCTCACATTTCGAAAATTATTTTCAAAGAGAAAACCCGAGTCAGTATCATTCTTTTCCGTCCGGGCAAAAAACGGTGACGACATGATTAAATCAAATCAACCAAATCGATTGATTATTCTCCTCTATCAATTATATAAAATTCAATGACTATGTTTTATACTAAAACAAAATTTAACGTCAAAATAAAAACTTGATTTTAATTCTAATTCGAATTAAACTATTATCTCGAAAAATATTAATCTATTTAAAATGAATAAAAAATCAATAATTTGTTTATGAGATCGAGTCATGGTCATAACAACTTGACATGCTTGAGGAGCGAGTCACTAGGTTAAACCAAGGCATTAGTTTAGTTTCACCTTCAAAACCCTACTTTCATGCAAATGTTTCATAAAAATATTCTCTATTTTTTTATTATTATTAAAACATTGTGAGGCATTTTTTATCACAAAAAAGAAAAATGGAAAATGAAATTAGCCATGGAAATGTGACACATGGGGCTAGTAAAGGTAAACCCGAGAGCCCACGTGTCACATGTAGCGATAGCACCACCACCACCAATAATAATCACAACAACAACAGCAAAGAACAAGATCGATTTCTTCCGATAGCAAACGTGAGTAGAATCTTGAAGAAAGTGATCCCGAGTAACGGTAAGATCTCCAAAGACGCAAAAGAAACGATCCAGGAATGCGCGTCGGAGTTCATCAGGTTCGTCACCGGAGAAGCCTCGGACAAATGTCAGAGAGAGAAGAGGAAGACGATAAACGGAGACGATATCATATGGGCAATCACAACGTTAGGGTTTGAGGAATACGTCGGACCCTTGAAATTGTACCTAAGCAAATATCGAGAGATCGAAGATGAGAAGCTTATCTTCCCAGAGCAACAAAGACAGGAGCTGCAGAAACAATATCATCATCATCATCATCAACAACAACAACAATCCGAATATGAACAAAATTTAGGGTTCAACAACAATAATGTATATTCTTTATTAAATGTTTTGTCTCATCATCATCTTCATCATCACCAACCTCCTTGTTTTCCTACGGATCAACCATTTTCCTTGCCTTTCTCTTCCAATTCCTTTCAAAAGCAATTACAGTAGTAAGATTTTGAATCTGTGGGATGTTGGTAAGAACAACTGGATCTCTTTTCCAGTTTTCTTCTTCTATATTCATTTGCAATGTTAATTAAGTTCATATATACATTTTAATATATTTATTATTATGCTTTTCTTGCATAATTTGATTAACTAATATATAATTCTATTATATATTAGTTTATAACTTTATATTTTTTTTGGAAAGATTAAAATAAAATAGCTGACCCTTATTCCCATATGTAATGGGATAAGGGGAGGTAGATAGTAGGTTGCCCCAACGCCAAGTTGAGAGCAGCTTCCGTAGGAACCTCCGAATTATGAAATACCTCCGTGAGACTCGATCCCACAACCTAAGGTTAAGAACCTTGTGCTCTACCAACTGAGCTGGAAAGATTAAACTATAATTTTATCATTCTAAGAGAACTACAATATAATCTTGCCATGTATTAGCTTATGAGTTTATGATTTTTAGATGGACTCTTAAGAGTATTTTTACTATTTAAACTGTAAAGCATATCGCATGTATAATAATAGCTAGTTTTGCATGTATTTAAGGGCACAGACTGTTATGCATAAGCTAGCACTTGCACTTGTAGGGTGACTAGTCAACGAAAAGCAAGCTTGTTTGGGCTCTTGTGTAAATTAACAGAGATTAAGGGAGTAAAAAAGGAAATTATTTCTTATAATACTCTTATTGCATTAATAAAATTTGGGTAAAGTAAACAAATGATCCCTGACAATAAAACACTATTTTATTGAGTCCTCCGACTATTAAAAGTTACAAAATGATCCCCGACTATAGGATGTTTCTTTGTGGAGTCATTCGACTATTAAAAGTTATGAAAATGGTCACCCGACTATTCATTATGTTCCAAACTTATCATTTTCTGTTAAAAAGTTGACGATAGTTTGAGCTGGACATTAACCTGCTAACCGGTATATTATACTCATAAGCTCAAGCGATTATCATATCTTAGTCAGTATGTTAGCGTCTAACTTAGATGTTTTTAACAGAAAAGGACGTGTTTGGAGCATAATGAATAATCGGGTGATCATTTTGTAACTTTTAATAGTCTAGGGACTCAACAAAGCAATATCATATAGTCTATGGACTATTTTGTAACTTTTAATAATTGATAGACTCAACAAGCAATATCCTATAGTCGACATACCATTTGTGTACTTTACCCTAAAACTTTTCATTACATGTTGATTTTGGGTAAATTATATTATATGTCATTTAAGTACTAACAACATTATAAATGAATCACTTAATTTCAAAAAATTATAAATTGTTACTCAATTACTCGATTGTTATAAATAATATATTTTTAAAAAGTCAATCATACAATCAAATGATGGGTGCAAGGGCGTATCTACATAAATATGCCGAGAAAGGTTATTTATTTAAATAACATACTTTAAAATGTTATTCTTTAAATAAATGTGTCGCACCATATGCATTTTCTAGAAGGCGATTTGTTTGTGTGAGAAATTCAATCGAAACTTTTAAAAGTTGAGTCAAAATGAAAGAAAGATTAAAAAAAAGATTAAAAAAATACGAATAATTTTATATGAATTTTGTCTAAAAAAAAGAATGTGCATGATAAGTATTTATGCGAACATGAACATGAGTTTAATTCGATGTATATGTATAGATATTATATGTAATCACTCATCGAATACATATTTAGATACTTCAAAAAATAATTAATATCTAAACAATACATGATTTAAGAATTTTATGATCAAAGCTAATAGTTTTGAGTTGTCAAAGACATGTTCTGAATTTGATTAGACTTATATTAATATTGCAATTAAAGGAAGTTTTATCTTGAAATTCTCAAATCTCACATTGTTTAGATATTAATTTCTTTAAATATTTAAATATAATATTTTATACACACTTATTGAATGATTGAATTTAAAATTTATACATACATATATATATTTATTTATATGTATGTACCGTGATAACGTAATTGTTATTTAATTCGTGTTTAAGTAAATATATGTTGAGAATTTGTTTTTATTTGTTTTTTTCCTTTTATTTTTATTTTTTGTTGTCCTTTAAAAGACTCTTAGCTTATGCGATATAAAAGGGTAACGATACAAAATTTAATGAAATAATCCTTAATCAACCCATCTATATTTTAATCGATTCAAACATTTAATTTAACTAAAAAATAAATTAAAATGTTATCATTAAACTCGCTAATTCAATCAACTCAAAGCATTTTAACTCGTTTCGAATCGATTTAATCCGAGGCTGACTCCTAGTTAACAGTAACCTCCGTTGCATCCTGGGCAGCCGATCAGATCACTATAGACAAAGCCATTGAGAAAGGTTCAGAGAATACACCATGTACCAAAAAGAGCAAAAAAAAAAAAAAAAAAAACCAGAGAGGATATTTTACAATTTTTTCCATTTCTTAGTTATGTAATAAACATAGATATGTTAAATGGTATACTATAAATTTTAGTCCCTCTCAGTCATCAATAATTCATTTTAGTCCTTTAAAGTTACAATTTTATTTTAATCTCAGGCACAAGGGGAAACCAAAGATGGCCTTTTCTAGGAGAATGACAGCAATGAATTTCTTCTTTATCGGGTCTATATTCTGCAGTTTCATACCAATATAGACTCTTTTTTCGTTGTAAAAGGACTAATCTCTATATTGAATTTAAGCAACAATTTGGACCTTAAAGCTCAGTATAATTATCTACAATCTTGGAACAAAGAGGGGGAAGAAACCTTCCCATGAGAAAAGTTTATCATCAATGTCTTTGAGGTCCAACCTTGTTGAAAATTAATTAAAGTTTCCAAATGGTTCACCAAAAATTTTCAATCACGACGCCATTGATGAAGCCAGGGCCTTCTCACTATCTGGTGAAGCATCATATACATCTTTAGTTTTGCCATCATTCTCATTAGATTTCTCGTCTACATCAACAATGACATCATCACCTCCTTTACATTCATCGCCACCACCATCATCGCCGGAGACTTTGGCGGTGTTGTTAACGTACAAGCCGCACAACACCATCCTGAACCCGAACGCCCTCGACAACAACCGGTACATTACCGTCAGGATCCAGAATATCCATGGCGTGCAAACGAATGCGAATCCGAGCACGAGGAGTAAGCTCGACGATTGGTATTCGTCGACGGTGACGTAAGCCAAAAAGCATCCACCGCCGACGACGACACAGACGAACAAGATGCAAGCTATGGTCCATATGTAAACCTGGCTGGCATCTTCATCGGGTTCCGTCATTTGGATGAAATCTAGAAAGAAATGGTGTTCTTGAGAGAATTATGAGCGAGTTGGGTCATGATGATGATGATGGTGATGATGAACCATGTTTTAGACTAATGGAATCGGGTAAGAACCCATTAGAGATAGGAGAATTTGGCCTAGGAGTTGTTATGTCGTTGCAGGCTGGAAACATGTTCAAAAGTTTGTTCACGTAAAATATGGTTATTTTTTGTTAATATTACACGGAACATGAGAGAGAGAAACACGTGTTCGGTCTAGGTTGGTGTCACTTCTGAAAAAAAGGGGTAAACTACACGTTTAGTATCTAAAATATCCATTTTTATCTGTGACAGCACTTAAACTTTTAATTTTTTCAAAACTATACCTAAATTTTAGTTTTTGTTTTATTTTAGTACCCGTCGTTAAAAACTTTAGTTTTTATTTCATTTTAGTATCCCATTCAAAATTTAACGTTAAGTTTTGGAAAAATTAAAAGTTAGGTAATAAAATGGACCAAAACTGATTGTTTAGGTATTAAACATGTTAAGTTTTTAATGACGTGTACTAAAATGAAATGAAAACTAAACATTAGATATGATTTTGAAAAAATTAGAAGTTTATGTACTAAAACATATCAAAACTAATAGTTTAGGCACTAAATGAATAATTTGTACTATAAATAACTTTTTTTTAATTAAAAATAACCAATATACAATATGGACATTTTTTGAATTTATAAATCAATATTTTAAAGGTTAATTTTTAATTGAGTTAATTTCACCATAAATCCCCAAACTATAAAACTTATTTTAATTTAGTTCTTAAACTTTTGAGTATTCTAAGTTTACCCTCAAATCGTGACTCTTGATCTGAATTGATTCACCAAATTTTGAGTATTTCAAATTCATCTCTCAACTATGACTTTTTAAATTGGTCCTCAAACTTTTTAAAATTCCAATAACATCCACCAAATCATTCAAAAGTTTGGAGATGAAATTGAGATAGTCAATAGTTTAAGGGCTAATATGGAACATGGGTCATATTTTGGGGATAAATTTGAAATGCCTAAAATTTTAGAGACCAATTTAGAATGAGAGTCATAATTTATGGATGAAATTGAAATATTTAAAAATTTGGGGATCAATTTAAAATAAGAGTTATAATTTAGGGGTATGTAGTGGTTACGACATAGATTTTGGTCGAATTTAGGGAGTCAAATTGATATATTATCTAAGTTTAGAAGTCAAATGATATTTCATCTAAAGTTTAACGTCAAATTAGTATTCTATCTAAAGTTTAAAGGTCAAATTAATAAGTATCCCTGTTGAATAACATACTTAAGGATAGGGGTGAGCAAAACTCAACTCGACTCGAATTGACTTCAAGTTGTAATTTCATAAACTCGACTCGAAACAAATTCAAATTCAAATTGTAAAATACAACTCGAATAACTAATTTTTTTTAGTAATTAGTGTATTGATTTTCAAGTTTGAGTCGAGTCCCTCGACTTTATATGACATATGTATATCACACATAGAAAAAATATGAATAAATATTTATGTATTGTATATAGTTATAAAGAAATTTTAAATTACAACTAAATTTAAACAGAAGCTCGAAATTTCGAGTCGATTCAAAAAAAATATTTCAAGTCAACTTCAAGTTGTAAAATATGACTCGTCAACTTAGATAACTCAAAAAAAATTATTCGAATCAACTTGATTGAACGCTTACCCCTACCTAGGGGTGAGCAAAACTCGACTCGGCTTGATTTTTTTTTAATTTCGAGTTATTCGAGTTAACTCAAATTATTGATTCAGATTACGAGTTTGAGTCGAGTTGAAACTTGAAAATTTCAAGTTACTCAAAAAATAAAAAATTTGGCTTATTATTTTGACAATTTTACGATTTAATGCATGATTTTCTTATTCATTCAATTACTCCTTCATTTTAAGTCTATTTTTTTACTAAATTTTAACCACATGCTTTTAAACTATCGTAGAATACATATATGCTTTCATTTTCTCTTTGATAATAATTTCCTTATTTTCAATTCAGTCCCTCAACTTATCGTGATATTTTATTTCTTCAATCCATCCTTCATTTTAAGTCCATTTTTACCAATTTTGAATCACATGCTCCTATACCACTACAAAATACTTATGTAACGTCAATTCATATTTTTACTAAAAATATATTCTCTTATTTTATTTAATCCTTTAACTTTATATTTTACTCAATTTGGTCTTTTAACGGTAATTGTTTGTAAATATCTTCTTTAAAATATAATATTATAGATATATTTACTAATTTTAACTTGTATTTGATATATTAAATAACGTTATAATGTGAAAAGAATATGAATATATATATATATTATTGTTAGAGAAAATTGAAAAATTAGAATCAATCCTTACCATAATACTATAAATAATTATAATAAAATTTGTATAGAAACTACAATAACTCGACTTGAAACAATTTCAAGTTAAGTTCGAGTCACAACATATGACTCGTCAACTAAGAATTTTTTGACTTGACTCCATCGAATGCTCACCCCCTAAATATATCACGTCATCAAATTAGCATGAGTTATTGTTCAGTGACCAAAATATAACAATCGATAACGTAATGACTAAAATTTAATAAATCGATAACTTAAGCGACCAAAATGTAACTTCTTTGAATTTAGTAAGTAATAATGTACAAATACGAAAGGAAAAGTGACTAATCCAATAATTTACCCAAACATTTATTAATTAACAACAAATCAGGTTTTTGAAAGAAAAAAAATCCTATCCAAATCCTATCAAATTCGGATCGGTCGAGGAATCGAACCCGGTTCTGTTTCTACAGTAGTATTGGATTTGATACTCTCCTCTTTTTGCTACACAAGAAACTTTCTTACCCAGTTTCACTGACGCCTATTCCTCCTCAACTCCTTCTCCATCAAGGTAAACACATCCTTATTTGTTTATTTATTTATTTATCGTTGTTGTGATTCCTTTCAGCGTTTCCCCCTGTTCTGTTAACCGTTACTGGAAATTTTCATGCTCTGTGAATCTTTGATTTCATTGAGAAAATCATGCTGTAGTTCGATATTGATGTTGTACACCGCTTGAAATTGTACTTAGTAATAATATATTTCAAAGAATTAAAAATAACCTCGTAAAGTTCGCCTAATTGTTAAAGGTCTGGTTATCGCAGCTACAGCAATTCTAACGTGAAAGACATGAAGAGAAACCGATTTCAAATGTTTAAGAAGTGCCTTCCTGTTGCTGGGTTTTTCTCCATTTTCGTTTTCATTCATGTTTGCCCGCAATTTGGACCTGTATTTATGTTATTCCGGTTTGGGGTATGTCTGATATGGTGCAGACATGTACGGGCGAATGCATTATTTTATCCTAGGGGTTCAAACTTAAAAACTTATATTAGAAATTTAAGGGGTCTTAAGAACTATATTAGAATTTGAAATTTATAGCGGTATGGCCGCACCCCAAGCGCCCCCCTCGGTCCATCATTGGACATGTCCGAATTTATTGTTTTCTGTATATTTAGAAGATCCTATCTCGTTAAAAGCTCAAAGCAACATAGGTCTGCATCATGTTAAGACTTTATATTTGGAATGTTTGTAGTGTGTTTGAATCCGCAGTTAGTTCTTCATAAAGTTTCTATTGATATTTGTTGATTTGTAGTCTTAATGTATGATCAACTCTTTTGCAGACTTGATTTATCTCTTGCTATCTCCAGGGCCCTTGGCCCCTTCCGTTCTCGCATCCCGATTAGCACATCCGAACACCTTATCAATTTTCTATACCTTTAGTTTCCTCCTGGAAAAATTAAGGAACCTAAATGTCTCTCATAATGGCATCATCCTCGGTCGCTTTTTCCTCAAATTTTAATCCATTTAAAGTACACGATACGAATTTCTGGTAACCTTCTGTATTGAGTTTGTTGTGTTCATTTGTTGTTCATTGCAAATTTCCTAAGAGTGTGACCCTAAATAACCATAAAATCTTTAGAAAGAAGTCGCATGGTGTTTTGAGGCCTGCTAGAGATTCCTTCAATGACAATAGTCAGCCTTTCGCCGATGATGACACCATAACTTTCGATTGGGATGATCAAGAAGATGTTGAAGACACGGGGTCACCATGGAAGGGGACAATTATATACAGAAGAAGTCCTTCTGTTACTCATATTGAGTATTGCACGACTTTAGAGAGGCTCGGTTTAGAGAAGTTGTTGAATGATACCTTAAAATCTCGGGCTTTAGTGATGGGATTAAGGGTCACAAAGGATGTCAAAGATTATCTAAATGGAACCTCAGTTCAGATCTCCATGGACGTAACAAGGAAAAAGCAAAAGACAAGGCTTGATGGAATCATTAAAACTGTCATCGGTCTCGGTTGTAATAGGTATTTTCTTTCCTAAGTTTAAATTGTTATGGATTTCTGACTTCTTAATATCAGTCAAATGTCCCTTTAGTTCTTGTTGCAAATTATATCGACTGGTCGTATTTGAAATGAAACTATCTGATATGTAGTTGGACCGAATCACTCATTTTTAAATGTTGTACTGCATAACTTTTTGTCTTCCTCATTCTAATCGACATTGCATTATATTGTATGTTGAAGGTGTGGTGAGCCAGCTGCTCAGTGCATATTCTCCAATTTCTCACTTCTACTATGTGAAGAGCCCATTAAAGAACCAGAAATAATTGATTTGTGAGCATCCTTTAAGGAAGGGTTTAAATCTTTCTATGGAAGCAACCAAGAGGTGGAGGAAGATGGCGATGATGCATCAATCGATTGGGAAGATCGGCTTTATTTCCCTCCCGAGGAAAATGAAATCGATATCTCGAAGCACATAAGGGACTTGGTGCATTTGGAAATACGATCAATGTCGTATGCGATCCGAGATGCAAAGTGTTGGGAAATAACCGAGTAATTTCCCTATAACCAGATGAATGAGAATACGAAATAAAAGCGGAAAAATAATACCCGAAATTGATAACGGAGTTCAGCCAATTTTGTCTACGTCTCCGGACTGCTGCAGATATTTTACTAAAGAGAGAAAATTTACAGGTGTTTACAAAACACTCACAACTCACAAGAAAACTCTCTAAACTATTTAGTGTTGGGAGAAAGAAATGATTTGGGATGGTTTTGAAGCT